CGATCAACAGCTTGTTTGGAGTCAGTGAAATCATTGTGCCCCAGACACATAGCATTCAACATCCATGGTTTGATGAGATTAAGCTAGAAAATAACTATATTAGATTTAAGCTAGACACCGGGTCTCAAGTTAATTTAATACCTCTGAATATATATAAAACACTTAATATAAATAAATGCTGGAACATTACAACTATTAAACTTGAGGCTTATGGATAAATTCATGCCATTAGGCTCAAAAGATTAAAGTGTGTAGTTAATAATATTGTAGCATGGGTGACCTTCTTAATAATAAATAATAGTACCATACCAATACAGAGTCTAGAGGCATGTGAGAAATTTAATCTAATCAAAAGACACGAAAAGTGTATCAGAATGATCACACAGTGCACTAGCCAAAACGACAACTTTTTAGTAGTATTTTTGAAGGAATGGGAACATTCCCGGGCGAACATACAATTAAAATAAACCTTAATAGTCAAGAAACTATCAAACCTGCGAGGAGATTACCTCAAACACTATATAAAGATGTACAGGCAGAACTTAATAAATTACTAAAACATACAATTATATCTTAAGTCGAGGAACCTAAAGAGTGGGCTAGCAACCTTGTGGTAATAAGAAAACCAGATAAAAATTGAGACTTTGCATAGATCCATCAGAACTTAATAAGTCATTAAAACGAAATAACTATTTGATTCCAACCTTTGAAGAAATCCACTCTTAACTAATAAATAAAAAAATATTCACCGTGTTAGACATTAAAAAGGGATTTTGGCATGTGAAAATTGATAGTAAATCATCAGACCTATGTACATTCATTACACCGTTTGGCTATATCAAATTCAACAGACTCCCTTTTGGAATTGCAACAGCCCCCGAGATATTTATAAAGCTAAATCAAAAATATTTTGGGGATATAGATGATGAAAACATCTTAATTTACTTTGATGATATATTAATTGCCACTACAGATGAAACATCTCATGCTAAAGCATTAAAAAAAAACAAGTTGATAGAGCTAAATCGCTATACAATAAATTTAACAAAGATAAATTACAATTCAAAAAAACAGAAATAAAATATGTGGGCCATATTTTCAATGAACAAGGAGTTTCTCCTGACCCAGACCAAATAAAAGCTATAGTGAGTCTTAAGGAACCTACATCGATAGTAGAATTACAGACATTAATAGGCATGTTCAACTACCTTAGAGAATTCATACCAAATATGTCCAAAATTATCAGTCCTCTCAGAGGGTTACTTAAAAAAGATACAATATAGGTATGGGAAAAGAGACATTCCTTAGCTTTAAAAGAATTAAAGGAACTTGTAACAACATCACCAATACTACACACTTTAATCTAGATAAATAAATAACCATTCAATGTGATGCGTCAAAGGACGGTCTGGGATGCTGTCTTCTCCAGAACAAAAAACCCATAGCTTTTGCTTCAAGCAGCATGTCAGAAACTGAAATATCGTATGCACAAATCGAGAAAGAATTTCTTAGCTTAATATTTGCATGTAGAAAATTTCATTACTATATCTTTGATCGCACAATAAATGCACTAACTGATCATAAGCCTTTAATGTCAATCATGCAAAAGGATGTAATAAAAATACCATCAAATCGTTAACAGAAAATGAGACTAAAACTATTAGATTATGACATAAGATAAAAATATCTGCCATTAAAAAAAAAATGCATATAGCAGATCTATTATCTAGAGACTAGATGTGAGAGAACTTTACAGAGGAATTTGATACTAGGGCTACGGTGCATTGTATAAATAGATTTTATAACAATAATTTTCTTAATATTAAAACAGAATCTGATTAAGACCCAGTTCTTAATAAGAGAATCGAGTACTATTTCCAAGGTTGGCCAAATAGTAAACACATAGATAAATCAGTACAGCTATACAATAACTTAAGAAACGAAATAATTATTGAAAATGGAATAATATATGTTGCAGATAAAATAGTGATTCCTACTAAGCAAGGCCCTTTATACTTAAACTGCTACATGAAAGCCATTAGGATTAAATAAAACAAAATTAAGAGCAAAACAAATTATTTATTGGCCATTGATGTTTAATGAAATTGAACAATTTATAAATAATTGCAATACTTGCAATAAATTTCAAAATTAAAAAAAAAAAGCCCTCTAATTCTTCATGAAGTTCCAAATTAAACGTATGAAAAGGTAGGTACAGATATTCTATCTTTTGAGGATACAGACTATTTAGTTATAGTTGACTATTTTTCAAAATGGTTTGATTCAATTAAATTAAGATACAAGACTGCTAGTGAAATAATTAAAAAAGTAAACAAATATTTAGTACACATGGTATACCAAAATCGTCATAGCTGACAACATGCCGTTTAACTCAAGTGAATTCATAACTTTTTCTAAAACTTGGAATATCACAGTTTTAACATCTAGTCCCCATTACCCACAAAGTAATGGCCTAGCTGAAAGGACAGTACAAACTATTAAAAAATTACTTAAGCCCTAGAAGAAGGATGTGATGTAGAGTCAATGCTTCTAGAATATAGATACACCCCAATAATCAGTCTGCAAGCATCTCCAGCTGAACTATTATTCAGAAGGATTTTAAGAACTAAATTACCAATAGCTAACAAATTATTAGAACCTAGACTCCAATATAAAGTACAAACTAAACTAAAAGCATTCCAGCAAAAATACAAATCCAATTATGACAAAACAGCTATCAAAAAAAAAACACAATTTAAACCTAATACAAATATATTAATTCAAAATAATAAAGTGTGGTTGCTGGGGAAGGTCATAGCTAAGGCAAATACACCCAGATCTTACCTTGTTGAAAACAATAATGGTTCAATTATCAGAAGAAATAGTAAACACTTAAAAAATACTAAAAAATAATGTTACAGGAAACAGTAAGGAGGGAAACATAGAGGGGGAATCAAAAGCGAAAAACAAGTCTAACAAAAGTGTCTTGGTGAAAGAGGTATCAAGCAGACCCATAAAAAAGTACCTAACAGATTTAAAGATTTTGTAATGTAATTTAGCATAAGCCAATGTAACCTATTATATACCTATCAAACTGTATTACTAATAATTTTGTATTATAATATTAAATACTAATATTGTATTCAATTATATTTGTAAGAAAAAGAGAGATGTTGTAGTTGTCAACAATGATATTATTATTATTATTATTATGTTTATATACACACACCTTCAACCGTCATGTTGCAAGCAAGTATTTTTGTATCCTTGTATTTGTTGTAAAATTATATCATATAATAAAAACCACATAAATCAATCATCTTTTTCTGGATCGGGGGCAAAAATATACAAATTAAATTTGGATGTCACACGTGACAGGGCGACGTATAGTTGACCGTAAGAAAAACATTGAACGCTTAGGTCAATTCCAGCAACGTTAAGTGTATGTCCCTGTGCTTTATTTATAGTCTAATAAGCCAATTTAACGGGAAATTGAATACGTTTAAACTTAAAAGGTAAATCTGAGGGTATAATTGGTATTCTTGGTATTAAAACAGTTTTTCCATTACCACAGCCTGTTAATAGAATTAACTCGAATAATGAACTTCTCAATTTTTTGATTTGTGGTCTTGTACCGTTGCAAAGTCTGAGTGGGCTCAAATTTCTCATTAAAATAATAGATGCCCCTATTTTTAAAATCAGTGTATGTGGTGGGACTCCAGGAGGCGCTAAACAGTTGAGAAATTCAGTTAGGAAATGGACTGCATTCTCTTTTTCTAAAACTGTATCAACGGAGTAGCACAATTGTGATTGAGCGTCAAACCTAGATAGAATCAAATCATTGAATTTGTCGACTTACTCATTTGTTGGTGACAAAATAACCCTTTCTTGAAACCATTTCAATGATTTAGAAGATATATTTTGAATGTTCGGGTACACTTTTTGAATAAATTTTGTTATCGTAGGTACAGAATTACAGAAACTTTTAATATTTATTTGATCATTCGTTGCTTGAAATTCGCCTTTGCCTATTAAAAGTAAATCGTGGACAAAATTTATATTATCTTGATCTGTACATAGCACTCCCATATTAGTTTTAAGTTCCAATATTTGTATATAAGTCCATAAGTAGTATCTTTTCAAAGATGCGTTGACTTTATCAGCTCTTGTCCCTCCTATAACCACTGGCAAGATCTGACGGAAGTCTCCAGAGAACAACACTGTGCAGCCACCCATAGGACCATTATTATGACCTAAGTCTCGGATCGTTCTATCTAAAGCTTCAACTGAAGTTTTTTGGGACATTGACGCTTCGTCCCAAATAATTAGACTACAGTCCTGCATCAATTTACCAGTACCACTTTGCTTTGAAACGTTACAGACACTCGTATTCTCGTCACTATCATATTTCAAAGGATGTTTAAATATAGAGCTATTCGGCCCCCTACTACCCAGATAGCAATAGTTTATCTGACAGTTATCTAGGCAATATCGTATTTTTAATTTACATATATGTCTGATATCTGAAATATCTCTATAGAAAATTTTTAAATATCTATAGAATATCCATTTGATTTCTTATGAACCAAAAATCAATATCTAAAATATGTCTAATAGGTGATATCTATTTGATATGTTATTAATAATATTATAATATCCCTTGGATATCTTTAATATCTCAATTATATATCTATTTGATATATCATCAATAATATAATAATATCTCATGAATATCTCAATTACATATTCTTAAATATCAATCATATATCTAAACAATATCTTTGTTGGTCATTTGTAGTATATTCATAAATAAATAATAATTTTCAATAGGTACTAAATAATACTCAATGCTAAATAATTATAAATACTAATTTAGTTATAATATACATCATAATATATAGGAATGGGTATTATAAATAAAATGATATAATATACAATTAAGTTTCTAAATTTAATTTTATTAATTGTAGGAATATACAATTATTACAATATAATTTATTTTATTTTTTTAAAATTCTGCCTTTTGCCCCAGTTAGCCATTTACTAATGGCTGTAATGATCTCATCATTTGAATGATTTTTGAATTTTGATTTCAATACTGCTTCTATAAACATGTAACAATTTTATACATTAATTTTTATTCAGGTAAAAATATAAACATTATTAAAATAGTAATTTTCTAACTATTATTACCTAATAAAAATAAATATAATATTAACATAGGTTCATATATATATTTTTATTATTTAGTTGAGGTATTAGGTTCTGAGGTACTTTTTAAATTAATCAGGGAAAAATAAAATAAAAATGTTAATAATTATTTAGTTGAAATTATTGAATATTAGACAATATAAACTCAAACATTTTAAAATAACAATGGTGGGCAAATTTGTATAACTACGACTCTGCTGTGTCATTGAGCATGTGTGTATAATAGTGTAATAGGTTATACATTTAATTCAATGATAAATTATTGTATGCGATAAAAAAGATTCTGAGTGAAGACTGTATATGAATATTTTAAAATTATATTAATTAATACATTAGTATTGTTGTATTATTATATATTATATTATGTGTTTGGATTATTATTACAAAAAGGGATAAATATTGTGCTATAAATTAATTAACTAAATGTTTTCTAAATAGATACCTAACTATAACTAGGTAATAGGTATTTCAATTACATAAAGATTACAGATTTATGAAAATTAAAAAAATGTAGTAGGTTAAATTGTATACATTATTATATTTAGTATTTATATGTAAATAGTTTTTAATTTTATTATAATTTAATAAAAGTAAATATTATGTTGATTTCATTCAGTCATAAGACCCATATATAATTAATAATTATAAATGTACCTATGTATCTATCATTATTAATTAATTTTTGTCTAACATTTAATTATTATAAGTAGTAGTAGTTAAAATGTCGATCTTACAAAAAACAACTATTCAATTAGTATTAAAGTTATTAGTAGTAATAACTACTTTGAAATATATAATCGACATATTATAATTAATTTGCTGATTAAGATGTAGTATAAATAAATATATTCACTCTAATTCAAAGTTAACATAATAGAAAAATTCACAAATATAAAACTTACCAATAATTACTTTGTTTATAGCCAGTAAAGAAAAATTATCCTTATTTCTCAAGCCATATGTGAATTCAAGTAAAACGCTATCATCAAAAACTTTTTTTAGAATTTTATATATCATGTTTGGTAATGACTTGCCTCCAATCCTAGCCAGTTCACTTACCTATAAATAATAACAAATTAAAATTAAATTAAAATAAAATAACGATTTATAAAAAAAGAGCTTACAACTTGTTTTCGAAAATTAAAATCACTCTTAATTTTATTTTCCATATCATTGAGACCATCTTGGTCAGATATTGGCCAACTTGAAACAAAATAGTCAACCTCATGGGCCCATGAATCATCTACTTGAGTTGAAGTTCTGTTTTGGATATCATTAATCATCTTAATAATCTCTTGTTGAGTATCAGAAATGTTAGAAACTTCAACTTTTAAAGAAGTTAAATATTTCAAAATGAGTTTCTGAAAATCTGTAAAATCAAGCCATTATTAAAACATTAAAGTGCTAATAGAATAATTCAAAACTACAATAGTATTAAAATGTATAAGGTATTATATAAAATTAGTAATACCTAATTATAATATTTTTATATTGAATATAAGTAGGTATAAAGGTACACCCAATATACTAAGTATTTAATAATATTTTGCTTACTCAGATGTTGTTCATTGCCGTTAACTAAAGGAGATACACTTGCAGGTGTATTTGTTGCATCACTGGTTAAGTATGAAACTTGTATACTCTGAATATTTGATTCTTGATGGTTACTTGTTGAAGGTAGTACATTTTGTGTATTTGTAACTGTATTGGAAGACGAAGAATTACCTGAAAAATCATATATAGATTAGATAGGCATAGAGTATTATCAGTTTTATTATAACAGTAAATATCTTAAATTTGTATACCTTTCTGAAAAGCGATCATGTTTTGTGTACTATACTTTTTGGAGATAGGCGTAATATTCAATGTTGTACTTTTTTCATCTAATAAAAAATACACAACTGGAAATATTATGTGATACTTATGAAATAGTATGTGATAGTTTAAATTAATTATATGATACATATACATACCCTGTTTGTTTAAAGTTGATTTATTTTCAGTGAAAGTATCATCATTTTCAGAATCTAAAAATAAATTGTTTCAATATAAATGTCAGGGTTGTAACAGAGCTCTTATAATATTACTATTACCATAATTAAGTATACTTTTTTTGGAACAATCTTCATGTAATACATAATTTTTGTCAATATCACTATCATCAAACAATGCTAAAAAATAATTAAATGTATAAATTAATATAATATTATATAGTATTAATTAAAATAGTCTTACATTTTTCTGAGCTTTCGTCAGTATCACTTGTCAAGTTATTATTTGTGATGTCTACTACTTTCAGTGAATTATCTTTTTTTACTTTCTTGAAGTCTATGAAAATAAATAAATAGGTATATTGAAGAAATTACACAGCATAATATTATGTCATTAGTTTTAAAATTATAAAAAGGAATGTGATGAAGCACCCAAATTATATTTCATTAAATATAGTACTGTATAATATATTTAGATATTTTAGATTTTTTTGTTCACTATAATGGTGACTAATTGAACATTAAGCTAAATATTAATTTTTTTTTAACTGAAAATAATGATTAATTTTGAGCAAAAGTAGATTATTAACTTTAATCTCCATTATGTGTATACTGTATAGGTATACCAAAAAGTTTGTTTACTTAGTTGTTTAGATGAATTATTGTTCGATGAACTATCAACTTTTCTTTTCTTTTCACTTAAATGGTTATTTGTCTTTGTGTTCTTTACTTCTCCATCTGACAAATCAGAAGTATACATAGCTAGTTTCAGTTTTTTTGCAGCTTCGGCTAATGAACCTTAAATGTTAAATCATACAACAATTAGAATTATATAGGCAATATTTACAATTTTTTTGAGTTTAAAAAGATGAATTAAACAAATAGAATATAAATTTGATTTGTAAGTTTGAAGACCAATGTAAATTTATTATATTAAAAAAATAAAATGAGTTTAAACATTCAAAATTAAGAACAATAAATGAAAAGATATAAATATTTTATAAAAACACTGATTTAATAAAATAAAACAAAATTGCTACAACCCTACTAAAAATGGATATATTATAATCTATTTAGATACATAAAAAGGTTAAATTAAATTACACACTTAGAGGAAATGAATTGTTATGGTAGTTACAATGTACATATTATATAGTTTATTGTTCATATTATAGGACGCCTACAGAATACTTACTAATATTATTAGCCATTACTCGACAGCTGAAATATGAAAAATCAAATTCATTCGGCTTTGCTCTGTTATTTCTTAATTTATCAGCAGTTGAGCCATTGTTTGGCCAAGCACATTTCGATTTGTCTTTATTTAACCAATGTGTTGGAACTAGTTCCACAGAATTGTCGGCGTCAAAATTAACTATTGACCACATGTTTTATGCTGTGAAGCGGTAAGTAGCAGTTTATAATTAAAATTGTTAGTGCAATAACAATTTTTGTAGTGTAATAAAGTGTAAATAACAATATAAAATATAATAATAGGTATTTAAGTAGGTATTAAAACATTTGAGGGTAAGAAATCAAAATAAAAGTCTCTCCTTTAGGTCTTCCCAGAAAAAATTAGTAGGTAGGTACCTATCCATTTAAAAATGTTATGTAAAGCATTAGAGGTATATTAAAATAGGTAATAAAGATTTTCTTGGATAAGATATATACATATTATTAGAGACTAAACTATTGATATAGGAATAAAATTAAAATAAATAACAAATTTTTTTATTTTTTAAATTATAAGTAAAAATTAATTATTAAAATGAATAATTGGATAAGCTATCATGCAATTTAAATCATGAGCTTTTAAAATCATGTATTTGGTTATTACATCATCAATATTCCAAACACTAA